TTAGCTCAATCACATATTTTGAAGGTATGCTCATATTACTTGCACATTTGCCTGTATAGCTGACGATTCGTCTTTGGAATTTGTCAATTGCTGAATATTGGAGAAAATGAAGCCACGGGTCCTGTTTTTTGAGTAGAGCTGAGGGAGACCTCCCTAAGGGAAAGCTCATATAGCCATTGCCAGAGAGAAATAGACAGGAGACAAGCTAGACAAGCTAGAGGAAGCGATTAGGATATTATTCAGGCTGTGTACTGGAGAATAAGGTATTTTGTAATGAGCTTGCAGTGAAAATGTGCCAAGTGTGAATAAATAGATTTCAATTGACAAATGCTTTCTCTTGGCCTCATGTGTTAGTTTTCAGCCAGCAATTCAAAATTTCGTTAAATTTTTTGGTGAATGTTTGTTAAGAGTACAGATTTTGTGTATCTCAATGATACAATTCTAAGAATACAGTGAACCTTTCTTCTCTGTCTACAGCTCTTAGTTCCTCTCCTTTTCTTCCTTTAATTCTTGCAATAGAATGCTCTTTCGCTTTACTTTAGTATCACAGTATCCATAATGTTAAACAAATAGATAGTAAGACCACTGTTCCACAGAAATAACGGACACTAAAGCTATATATTTTTCTTATACTTTTTTTTTGTATTTTGTATTAATTATCACATACTAGGGAAAGTATATGATCTTTGTCTTTTGGGAGCTGGCTCATATTACTAAGCATAATGATTTCCAGTTGAATTCATTTTGTTGCAAAAGACAAAATGAAAACTTAACAAAGTTTTCAAACCAAAGATATTTATCACTAAGAAATGTAACTTCAGGAATACCTTTTGGACTATGGGAGATCCTTTGACTAAATAACTTTTTTTTCTATTCCTTTCTCTGAATAGCATCCTGAAATTCTCTGATCAGAAGTAGAGGCTCGTCCCTTTGTTCTAGTGAGAGTATGCCAAACCCATCAGGATCAGTCTATGTTCTCAGTCCACTATAGTGGATAAACATGAAAAACGCCAGCTTCCTGGTTCTGAGGCTCCTGGAGTCACACCCTGAGGGTTCCTGACGTCATACTTTCACCATCCCTCAGCTGTGCTATGCCATGAAGTCCGAGGAGCGAGTAGGTGTGGTTTTGTGCCCAGTGGAGGTGGGCAGAGAGAACCCTGTCACAAATCTGTTTCCCCACCATTCTCCACTGACTCACTTCCCAACCTACACTCTCCTCCAGGATCTTGACATCGTGACCTGGTGTCGAGCAAGGAACGAAAGAGCCCGCAGAGTCAGTGTAGAGCCCACTTCCTGGTTCGGGACTTGATGCAAATGTCAAATGAGTGTTAAGGCCAATAGGCCCATACCACATCCTCCTGACTCAGAATTAGAGGCTCAGCCTCTGCAATGCTGGGCTCCTGAAACAAGTGTCACTTCTTGGGACTTGAGGCTGATGGATCAACAGCTGACATCAGAATCCATCTGTTCCTGGACAGCTCAGTGTGAAAATTGCCGAGGGCCACTTTGCACTCCATCTGTGGACCTACTGTGCGTGTCAGGACAGTTGAGCTTTCTTTTTTTCTTTCTATATTCAGAAGAATGTTTTATTTTGACAACCATTTATTCATAATTGGAAGGATTACAGAGACAACCAACCTTATAGGGTTGATTGGGAAGTTGTTTCTGGAGAACTCAGTATTCTGAGATTTAACTGAGTACTTTCAAAACTATCCCAATAAAAATTTATTTTGAGAAACTTGAAAAATTTTAATTCACATAGGATAATTATACATATTATGGGATACAGCATGATAATTCCATTCATGAATATAATATATGATGATCATTAGCATTTTCATTGCTAAGAATTTTTATTTTTTGAGTTGGGTCTTTCACCTGGATGCAGGGGCCCAAGTGCTTGGGTCCTCTTCCTGGTGTTCCCAGGTGTATTAGCAGGGAACTGCATTACAAATGGAACAGCACGCAGTTAGGATGACAGCATCGAAAGTGACAGCTTATCATCTAAGCCACAATGCCCACTTCTATTATTTTTCTTAATATGAAAGGAATGATCTCATTTCTAAATCTTTCCCAGTGATGCCAACAGCTGCAATTTTTTTTTTTATTATTATTCTGTGGAACCCTAAAAGATGTGTTATCTGTTGGTGTTTACTAAAGGCTCTGTGTAGAGACTATTTGCCCAAATGTCATTCAAGCTTGTCAACAACAAAGATTTTATGCTTTTTAAGAAACTATTTATTTTATTTAATTGAAAGGTAGAGGGATAAAGATCGAAGGAGACAGACAGACAGACAGATAGATGGATGGATAGATAGAAATATTTTATATGTTGGTTCACTCCCCAGATGGCTGTAACAGCTAAGACTGGATCAAGCCAGTCAGGAGCCAAGAACATCATCCTGTGTACCAGGGCCCCAAGTACTTGGGCCATCTCTGCTTGCTCAGGTATATTATCAGAGAGCTGAGTGGGAAGCAGAGCAAATTGTGTTCAAACTGGTTGTGCTACACTGCCAAAACTAAATGTGTGCTCCAGATCTTTTTGTCCTGAGAGCTGAGTGCAGTTCCTGCAATGCAGAATGTAGTTAGCTTTTGGTGCTTTTTCTAATCAAGCCACCAAGTAATACAACGACTGCGTTACTCATTCAATTACTGAGTAATGTTTGACAGTACAGCCAACAGTTCTTGAGTACTAGCTATGGATGAGCGTGTTTTTAACGCATTGTTGAATATGCAGTGTTTGGATTTAGTCCTTCAGAAGTTTCAAATCTGAGCCTTGGATCCTTGCACAATACATATGCCTGTGACTGTACACGAAAAGCAACAAATGACGGCCCAAATGTTTAGGTTCCCTCAACCATGTAAGAGACTGTCGAGGGGGCTCCTGACTCCTGGCTCCAGTCTGGCTCACTCCTGCTGTTGTGTAAATCAGTGCCTCGAAGGTCTCACATTCTTGCTTTCAAATCAGTCAAATAGTCATTCGATGTTTATAAATAAAGCTAAAGCCAAGAAAAGGTGCATAACTTTTCTGGATTCCAAAACTGGAAACTCTATGGTCTGAGCTGATTCTGATCTCTAAGGCTAAGTAAGCTCTTTGCCCTGTTCTACCAAGCTTTAGATTGAAACTCGAACCAATAGTTGGCTAGAGCACAGGACACACACAAGATTTGTGTGGCAATGAAGCTCAGGCAGGATGTTTGAGGCTGATGGAAGTGGGCCTGCACGTGTGCACCGTGTGAGTAGGATACAGAATGAAGGTGGAAATGGTGGGAGGGCAGGATGCGATTTCTACTTCACTTTCCATATTGATACCAATTCTTATTGGTAGGGGAGACACAGGTTGGGGATACACACGTGTGTATGCCTGGTGACATGCAGAAGAGCAGGGCCTTTATTCCTCAGGGTCTTTGGAGAGGCTGTCTTTCAGGGTACTGCTGTGTGCACAAAGGGCACTTATTTAAGTGCTGCAGACAGCACAGTTGGAACTCCCATTTCTAGACTGCTCACCATCTCTCTCTACATGCTCAGCATGTTGATTCATGTTGCTACAGAGGCCCAGTCACTGATAGGGCTTAGGAAGGGTGTCTTCCTGCACGGCCTGCTGTTCCACTTGCTAAGTCTTGCAATTGTCCTTGTGTCAGGAGTAGGGGATTTCTCATCTGCGTGGGGAGTCCCCAGTGGAATCTACTTGACTGGGATTCTTAATTTGCCTGAAAAGTGGGAAGCAGGGCTTGCACTCCCCAGGGCAGAAAAGCATACTTTTGTCCACACCTTTTGCTTAGAACATACTGGCAAAAGTAATTTTGGGGGAAAAGCTGCAGACACAATAGCTTTTTGTTTTCTGTTTCCTTTTCAGTAGCTAATACAAACGTAAGGTGCAAAAGTCAAGAAAACAAAAGTAGATCATGAAAAGTAAATGCCCTGCTTAATTGACCTCAGGTTTCCGATTCCCTTCTCCAGACACAATATCTGCAACCAATCTCTTGTGTTTTCCTCTTGGGTGTATTCAACACCCTTGGAGATATTATTGGTTATTAAAAAACAAACAGATGGCAAGGCAATATGCTTTATGGAGGATTCTTCCTTTGTTTTCTCTTGATACATCTTGTACTTACTTCATATTCAATTTATTTACTTTTAAGCACCAGATCATTATAGATATTTTACCCACTAGATTTATTTATCTTTATTATCTTTCTTGTTTTTATTGCTGCTGAATTTCATTCAAGTTTGGTTTTTGAAGTTGCTGAAGGGAAAAGAATGATCCAATTTTTTTTTTAAGACCTCAGCTGAATCTACTGGCCTTGGTGGATTAGACAGTGTTCAGTGGGAGTAGGATGATTACCAGTGGGATACAGTGAAAGATCAAAAACATACAGCAAGCTTCCAGAATGCATTTCCAGTATATTCTGGGATTCTCCTGTTATGGTGCATTGACTAGTTGCAGTCTTTTTCATGATGGAATCTAACAGTGCTTCCTAACCAAATGACTTGTTGAGGGTCCTGTTATCTACTATTGGAAATCGGGGCTCAGCAAGATGAATCAGTATATCAAAGAAGAGCTTAGTAGAAATGAGCACAGTCCTCAGATACTTGTACAGAGCAGAAAAGCAAGGGAAGTGGGTGAGAACACTGGGTCTAATCTTAAGGAAAGCAAATCTTTTCCTCTACAGGCCATTGTATTTCTGCTTCACTAGATACGGTTCATCAATTCTATCCATTTTTCATTTTCTAAAATTGTATCCTTAGGGTGGGCACTTGGCACAGTGCATGAGAAGCTCCTGTGCAAATTTTATCAAAGTGATGGGGTTGAGTCTCAGCTCTGCTTCTGAGTCCACCTTCCTGGGAAGAAAGAGGTGACATTCAAGCCTCCTGGACTCCTGAAATCAACCTGACCAGAACTCTGGGAGTGAGCCAGACAATGGGAAATCTTTGCCTGTTTGCCTTTCAAATGCCTCGTCATAAACACATCATGAAAATGTCCTGTTTCTTTCTCCTAGGTGTCCCTCCAGTTCGCTCCCGTTGAAAGCATCCAAGCACAACTACAAAGTAAGTGTTACTGAAAGTTTAAGTGATTCATATGTTTGAAACAATCTTCTCTTCAGTCTTTTTACTTAGTTTACAATGTAAGATCTGTCCTTTTCATTATACAGCCCTTAAGTCTTAGAATTTTTGAAGCTTTTATAAGGTTGTCAGTATGGAAACAAGACGCATAAGGAAGAAAAGGGCAGTAATTCATTATCAAATATATTTTTATCTCTGTGTTAGTTACATGAGCTGCTTCAGTTAAATTTCATGCTTTTCAGTAAGACTTATTCTCATTTTTCAACTAAGGAAATTATGTCTGCCCTGACTTTAACACATCACCTTTTCTCTCTTGGGACAAGATTATAGCTCAACGAGAGTTGGGAAAATCCTCCAGATATGAAAATAGGATGATTGTTGGACCGTGATACAATCATTGTTTGGGCTTATGATTGATATTACAACAATGACCAGTGGCTTCTAAGTGACTATTCAATTGCATATCGAGTTCTACTAAGCTTGAAGGAAGTTTCTTTTGCTCTCCAGAAGTGTTCTTCATTTCCAATCCAAACTATGCTGTCTGGACCAGATATAAAGCAAGCCTTACTAAATCGTGGTCAGCAGTAGGGGCCTATTCTTACCCAAAGCCAAGGAAAAATGGCAAGAATATGGTGTGTCCAGGATGTTGTTGCTTGGCCATTCAGGATGATATTGGGGCTGGAATGCTGGATTAAAAAATTTTAAAATGTAGATTTTGGCTTGTATGTGATACAACCCTGTACAGACTTACCAAGCCTGTTACTCTGCTGGCTTCTCTTCCTCCCCTCCTTTGCATTCTCCTGGGGCAGCAACTCCTCTTGGGGCACTTTCTCAGAAGAACTAGCAATGGAAAGGAAAAGGGAGAAGACAGTCTGTGTCTTTGGGTTCTTTCCCTGGGGTGCTTTGGAGCTTTCCCTGAGCTCGAGGGTATTCCGTGTTTAGCTCTCTTACTAAGATTCAATAAATGCTGTTGATAAGTTCAGTGCTTTGTGGACATGGTCAGGTGAAGGGAGAATAGGGAACAGTTAAAATGATTGCTTTGCTTGAGCTTCAAAGTGAGGGTAGTATACAGGACCAGGGTGAGGGGAACCAATGCCGTCCTTTGCTGTAGTCCAGCCACTGAATGAGAGGAAGCGCTGAAGTTGTCAATCTTGGAATGTCCTCAAAAATGAAAGAAATCCTAGATTACAACTCTGGAATCCCAGCCCCGTTAGTAATTGTTTTGCCCATGAACACTAGCTTTTCTTGCTTTTCCATTCCACTGATGAACAAGATTTCCACCTAAAGTGCTCTCTTTCTACAATCTCTCTGTGTAACGTTGTTTGTTTGTTTTTTACCTTTAGCCTTATCATCGGATGGGTGTGAAAACAACTTCATCATCACACTCCTAAAAACTTATGGAAACATGGAAGTGCAGAACAAATCAGTCGTCATCCGGTGTGATGGGTTTTATCTCATCTCACTGAAGGGTTACTTCTCTCAGGAAGTCAACATCAACCTTCACTATCGGAAGGGTGCGGAACCCTTCCCAATCCTGAAAAAGGACAGGTTTGCCAACTCCAACGTGGTGTTAAGATTGGGTTACAAAGACAAAGTCTACTTGAATGTGACCACTGATAGTAACTCCTGTAAGCAGCTCAACGTGAATGCCGGGGAACTATTTGTCATCCATCAAAATCCGGGTGGTTACTGTGCTCCGTAAGGATCTCATGGGCGCACCGAAAACCAGACACCAGACACACCAAGCTAGGGGTGCACAGGACAGAGCTCTCCCTGTGTTTGGAAGAACTGCTCCAGGTCAGTCACCTGTGACATCACTGGAAGCAACTGCCTCTCGTGACCCCCACCTCAGGGATGTTTAAAACTTATTTGCATGTCAGCTAACCTTATCCTTCTGTCCTCCCAATCCCTAACCTTCATTTTCCTGCATGGCCTCAGGCTGATCAGCACCTCTCCGAAAAAGAGAAAGCAGATGCTGAATCTTCAAGCTGTAGCGTTATTATTCAAACAGTTGTCACGATAAACTTAGGGTATTGAGAAAGACTCTCGACTACCATTTGCTGGAATTGGGCATGTGTGTGGCCTTGTCAAAACGAAGGAACAGGATTATGGATCTGCAGAAGGTGGTGTGGACTAACCCTTGGGAACGGTTAGATTGGTCTCACTTTGCATCTTGTCTCAATGTGTCTCTCGTTTGAAGAGAATTTCAAAGAAATATCAGCCTTTGAAAATCAGAACGTGCTCTGGGCTTTCATTCTTTGCTGCTTTGTTTCCCATCCTCCAAGCACACTTAATAGGAATGTCCCTGAAATTGTGATGTTGTGAATAACGTAGTTAGTGGTTCAGAGCAAACCTATTCAGGGAGCATGAGCTCGTTTATTGTGAAGGCTCTCTTACTACACAGCAATGGGGACTGTTTAGGGTAAAAGACAGCAAGATTTTGAGCAGCTAAGGGGGAAAATTGCATCTTCTGCCACAAAATCGTTTACACTTATCTTCATGCTGGTCCTGAGATGGCCACTCAACTGTAAGTACCACACTGCTGGCTCCAGCTGAAGTGATGCTGTTCTCCAATGTGATTTTACATCAAATAATATGGACTAGCTATTCCGTCCTACGAGAACACGGGCAATGAGTTCTGTGTAGAAGTAATGTAATACCACATAAATCTCCCATGAATAATTGAAACTTGAACTTACCAAGACTTGGTACCAGTCAACATCAAGGCCCCAAGGCCGTTGAAGCCTCTTAGGTTTAATTTCAGTGTCTTCCCTTACTTTAATATGGGCACCAAGCTTATGACATTGTGGAGATATGTGATCTTTCTAAATGTAAAATTGCCATGTGATTTATAACTTTTCTGTGCTGAGAGTGACAAATTTATTCTTTTAATAACTTCTTATTTTTCATATCGCATAAATAGAGGATGTGAAACATGGGATCTTTCTGCATATTTCTTGTCATCAAAGAAATTCTATGTGCTGTAATTCATTGATTATCTCTAGGATCTCCAGAAAGATACACTAAATAGTCTTACTTACATTTAGTAAGTATTCTTTTCTGTCTGGCGTAGTTTTCTGTGTCCTGTTAAGTCCTTATAGGAAATTCTGAACAAACTCATGGGCAATGTATAGCTTGAGGAAGGTATACATGGATTTCAAGGATTCTTTGCATTGTAACAAACATTTTAAATTCAATTTTTGATGAACTTTTGGAAGTACTCTTGTATCTCTAATTCCCCATATATTTTACTTTGTGATGGGAAAAAAAAGCCAAATTAAGATACAAAATAAAAGAAATCACATTGCAAGTTCAGAGTAATCAAGCTCTGAGTGGCTACTAGGGACATTCGAGTCACATCATAGTCAGAACCGTAACGAAACAAGTACAGACCATCTCCTGGGGACCAGTTGGGGGTTAAATACCTTCCATGAATGACTCTGAGAAATATATTACATGATATCTACCTTGACTACTTAGAAGATTTATGTGTATGAGTGTAGCTTACTTATTGTTGTCGATTGCATTGCAGTTACTTAAGTATGATATTTTGAAAAGTAAATGTGACTTCAGGTAATATTTAAGGAAATGTATTATTTTTTTAAAGTTTGGAATTCCTGTGTTTCTTATGGAAGTGCAGTGAGCATGCCAGACCTGAGCGTAACTGTGGCATACTCATCTTCCGCCCATCTCAGCAGCAGCCTGCGTGGGGTGCTCATCTTTAGTGCAGAGCCTGGCCCAGCAGCAGCCCCTGACCGTGGTTGCACCTGGCCTACACCTAGGCTTGCTCTCCTCAGCCACAGGGTCAGCTCGTCCATGTTGTAATCTTACTCTGCCTCTTTTTACCCACTGTGTTTTAATGCCTTGACGTCATGGCCTTCAAAAGAATCATTAACCATTTTGTATGCACCGCAGAGTTTTGTGGAAAGAGAACTAAGTAAAAGGAGTTAGGAACCCTGTTGACCCAGTCACTAGGTCAGTGGCCTTGGGCAGATAATTTCCGATTTCTGGATCTTGCTTTGCTTTCTTGTTAAAGGAAATAGATGGTAAATGTGTAACAGCTTAGACTACGCTCATGGTCTTAGCTAGGAAAGCTATATTAAATTATTTTGTACTTATTGCTCTGAATTAAGGGATATACTCTTCTGTTTTACTACTTTTTTTTTTTTTTTTTGGCTGTGGACAAGTTCATGTCCTCCATCAATCTTCTTGGTGACTCTTGGAAGAGCCATCAATAGCTCTTTCCTAGTCTAGTGGCTTTCTGTTCTCAGAACGCTTCAGGGACCCCAATCTTGATCCATATTGTCATTTGTTTCTAAGAGTACTGGGCAGGTCCCCTATTTTAAGCCATAATTTTGTATTTGTGCTTTCCTAGGCCTAAGAATGTTAATATTGGTTTAAATAATATAGTTAATAATAATATTAATATTTACATTGAAACAAATAAAAAAGCCTCAGAATCCACTGCTGGTGAAGTGTTGCAGTTTTCATTTATTGTCCTCGTCCGGCTAGCCAATCCCCTGACGAAGGGCAGATGAGGTAAGCTCTCTGCCTTCCTGTCTGTCTGCGGTTGAAGCCAATCAAGAGTGACCAGGGGATGACTGGGTTGCAAAGTCCACTTCGGCTTTTGAGATGTCCTTGGGAGTTTCCCAGAATGCTCTTTCACACTTCGGGAGCTTGTCCCCAGCCGAGTTCCACCATGCAGTGCGTTTCTGCCCTTGTGTCTAACTGTGGGCTGCTCCCCTTGCTTAACAGTAACCATCTCTGCTGCGCCATGACCTTTACTGGGTCTGACCTCGGTGACCCCTCTGCTTCCCCTGGTGCTGTTGCTGAATCTGCTCTTGGAAATTCGTGTCCCAGCTTTCTTAGCGTCTCCCTTATCTGGTCTTTTCTTGCCATCCCTCATCTCTGCCTTTCACCGTCTTCATCTTCATCCTCTTGCTCTGCCCGCCCACTTTGGTGCTTGTGCTCCTCAATGCCTTCCTACTTTTCCACACATAAGGCGGTCGGTAAATTGCAGCCTAGCCCGTGTGTGTGTTTTATTTGCTTGGTAAGCTGGATTGAATTGCCAACATTTAAACAATGGGAAGTTTCTGACTTCTTTGGAAGACAATATTGGTAAGTTTGGTGAAGCTGCTGGACCCACTTTCAGGGCAGCAGCAATTTTAAGAAGGTTTCCTTTGCAGGAGGTTCTCTATACTCAGCTTCTTCAGAGTTCTCACTACCCACACAATGTGTAAACGCATTTGCGCTAACTTATGTCCTGATTTGCCGCCAGGCCTGGAGACATTTGAGTTGTGGTTTCTGTTCTTTCCACTTGCCAACCTCACTGACTGTTGCGTCTTCAACCACTGTTCACACTCTAGCAATATCTAAAACCATCTGCTGGTCTGGATGTCCTCTGCTCCAGTGCCACATGTATTGCCAGCATTGGTAATTAGGAATGAATTATTCTGGGTGTTAGAGTTTATACTAATCATTTTTAAAGTAGGTATTATTATTATTACTGGTTTATATAAGAGCTTGGGACTCCAAGCAGTAAAGGCGAGCAAGGCTGTTCAGTGGTGGGACTCAGGTTCAGTTTCCTAACTCCACTGTCCTTGCCCTGGGCAGTCCTGGCTGAGGATGCCCACAGCAGGCTGCTCCCCTCCTTGTCAGCTGCTCCTCCTGGTCTGTGAGGTTGGCCAAGGCACACAGTCACTGTTGAAGCTGAAAGCCTCGATGCCTTCCTACTTTCCTCCTCATCCTGTCCCTACCCAGAATCCTGTGGCCTCCCTGACTCTCCTCATTAAATCTCTTTCTATTACTGCAGCAAGAAAGCCTCAAGTTCACCTGCTTCAGTCTGCATTCTGTTCTCTGATCTAATCAGAACAGAGTAGGTTGATTCAGTTAATGAGCAAAACGAGCAAATAAAATAAAGCAAAATGCCATGGTTTGAAAACAATTGTACTGGAGCCTAGTCTTCAACTGGGGCTCTGTCATTCACTAATTTTGTGATGTTGATAAATTCATCACATTTTTATTTTGTCTGAAAACAAATTTTAAAACTACCCTGAATTGTAATGTCCTATCAGTTAAACGAGTTATGATTAAGATAAGAGATAGTTTCTGTGGAATATTTGTTTCATTGCCTGTAATAGTCTCAAGAAATTATAATTTACAGAATCATCATCAATTCTTTATGGCAGAAAGTATCTGATGCATATCACAGCTGTGCGGGCTACAGGATGGGAGATCAAAGAGAATAATGGAAGAGTTTTGCCAATTTGTATTGGAGAAAGAGAAGGAAGGAAAACATGAGGGAGCCAGGCAGCACCCAGCAGAGGAGGGAGCCAGGCAGCACCCAGGAGAGGAGGGAGCCAGGCAGCACCCAGCACAGGAGAGGAGAGAGCCAGGCAGCACTCAGCACAGGAGGGAGCTGAGGTTGCCACACAGCCCTTCTCTGCAGCTATGGACACCATCAAGTCCCTCCACTTTCCACAGGATAAATAGCCAGCTTCCACAGAGTTGCAGTTTAGAACTGATGTTGTGCAAATGCAAGGAGTGTGACTGCAACTGCATTCCTGCTATGACCTTTAGCTCATTATATGTTCATGAAAATAAAGTTGTATCTCACACATATCTTCCCACTAGGAACTTGATGCAGTGACAGGAGCTTTCGGAAAAAAAAAAAGACAGGAAATGAGCAGTACTCCATTATGTTTCACTATGCATGAATAGTAAATTAATCTCACCACCTGCAGATGCTGCCTATGTAGCCAGTTCAGCTAGCAGCTGGCCATGGCCTTGGTGCGTGGAGCCATGCCTTCTCTAGTGGACATGCTTGCTTCTTACAAATGAACCTTGTTCTCTGTTCTTTATTTCATCTCACCCATGAATTTCTTCTGGCATCAAAGATGGGAACTTGGGTTCAGATACCCCAGAAGTGTATGTTGCATAAGCCCCAAAGTAGGAATTATTCCAGCAGAGAGCTGGATGGGAAGTGGAGCAGCTGGGACTAGAAGCTGCATCTATATGGCATTCTGGTGCTGTAAGGTGGAGGATTAGTCCATTGAGCCACCATGCTGGCCCCATGTACATTATAATTTTTAAGACAGAAATTTATGTATGATTATGGTAGAGGTTAAGGATTAACAGATAGTCTGAGGATGACATATTGGAGGTATTGAAATTCCAACTAGCAATTTTGGATCAGAACTTGAAATGACAAACATATACAGTTTATGAGTGAGAATTTACCACAATTTTGGAAAACAGCCCAAGTTCTCATCAATGCCATTTTTCACTTTATTTTGTCAGCTGAACAAAGCTTTTTTATTTTTATTGGAAAAGACTAAGGAAAATAAGTATAGAGGAAGCAAATTTAAAATACTTTTGTCTAAAGATGTAAACAAGGATTCTTATGTTCAAAGCTATTATTTAATAAAGACCATATTAGCTGTTTTCAGTAGCACCTTAAAATATTGGGAGGGATGTTATGGGCAATCAAAATAATTGTTTAGGATTTCAATAGCTTGTTCTATATTATTTGCTACTTAGATATGTCCTGTTTCTAGATTTTTAAAAGGTTTATTCATTTTACTTCAAAGTAAGGGTTATATAGAGGATGAGAGAGAGAGAGAGGGAAAGAGAGAGAGGTCTTCAATCCATTGGTTTATTGCCCAGGTGGCTTCTAAGGCCAGAGTTGGGCTGCTCAAAAGCTGGGAGCATTCCAATGCATAATATTTCTTAGAAGACAAACATTTAAAATCCAATATAATTTTGTGGTTGTATTTGAATTCTGAGGATTTTGAATTTATAAGCTCAGAGGCAAAAATCAGGAAGTTGGTTAATATTTTGCTTATATTAAAATGCTACTTTGTTGACTAAACTGCAGCTACCGAGTTTTCATTGTGTGTTTTGGTGTATTTACTGTGCCGGATATTGGAAATACAAAGCACCCAATAGTTTCTTCCTCTTGAGTTTTGAGGAAAGGGTATGTGTGAGTTGAAGCGTCAAGAAACTGGAAAGCTGGAAACCAAGTAAGAATCTGGGTGCTAGTGACTGTGGGGAAGAAAAGCATTATTCAACACAGCAGTGATTACAAAACCTAGCATATGTGTCTGAGAAAGAAATTTGCTCATTCTTTCAAAAATGTTGTTTTGAGAGATATGAAAAAGAATTTTAAAAAAGCTTTGAAGATGAAAAGAGAGTGAGATAAGAAAAAAACAAACAAACTACGTGGTCTACTTTAAATTTGGAAGAATCAAAACCTCTCTGGGGAGATGACATTTAATGTAAGATCTGAAAACTGGAAGAAATGAGCTCTGTAACAGGTAATAATTTTATGTATTTAATATCCTAAACGTTTTGTCATTACACGTATTATTTCTACTTATTGAAAGAGGCAGTTTACTGCAGAGCAGCTTGCCGTGTTGAACGCTCACAGCGGCCTCCTTCATCTTGTATGTCATTGAGCCTTGTTATGAGATTATGAGATTATTTTTTCTTCTCATTTATTCTTTTTAAAAATATATTTTTATTTTGAATTTTTGAGTTATGTGGTACAATTTTGTATAGGCTGGGAATTTCGCCCAAACTCCCAGCCCTCAACAGATTTTCTCCATTTTACTACAATAGTGTAGAACTTCATAAGGAATCATAATTCAATTAGTCTCTTATTTAAGTGTACCTCAACATTGCTGGTACAGACAATGTCAGGCAGTCCAGCATCCCATTGTCTACACATGGCCAACAGTTTCATTGGGAATCCATCTTCTGTCTGGAAGCAGGGATGCATGTTCCATTATTCCCCTACATCTGTGTGTGATAGACCCCAGTACTCCATCATACACACTTCCGTAATTGAGAAGCCATGAAACCAGATCAGCAACTGTATGAGTTAGAACAGCCAAAACTACAACAACAAGAACAACAACATCAACAACAACAAATTACAGCACCATGAAAAAACACGCCGCTGAATGACTAACACATGAGTGACAAAAAAGGAAACACAGAAGTCTCTTGGGGAACTGACACATGAGTGACAAAAGTCTCTTGGGGAAAATGATGTCGCCATGTAATCCATGAACCAGTAATGAATTTGAAAAGAGAAAATGAATTATTTGGAATAAACAAAACTGAAATGAAAAACATCAAAACACACAGGATACAGCCAAAAAACCAAGCAAACAAACAAAAACAGTATGAATCGGATTATTGAAATCACACATATGGTATTTGTTCTTTTGTGATTGACTTATTTCACTGAGCAGAATGGTTTCTGGTTGGAACCACCTGATTATAAATGGTATAATTTCATTCTTCTTAACAGCTGAATAATATTCCATGGAGTAGATGTACCACAGTTTCTTTAACCACTCTTCCTTGGAAGCACATCTGGATTGTTTCCATGTCTTTGCTATTGTAGATTGTGCCGCTGCAAATATAGAACTACAGATCCCCTTCTCATATGCAGATTTCACATCTATTGGGTATATTCCTAGGAGCGGGATAGCTGGGTCATATGGCAGGTTTATTAGCAATTGTCCAAGCACTCTCCATACTGATTTTCACAGTGGTTGTACTAGCCTACACTCCCACCAGCAGTGAAGGAGGGTGCCTTTCTCCCCACTCTTGTTTCATTCATCATGGCCCTGGAAGCATTATATTAGAACATTTCTAACTCTGACTTAGTACTCATTTTGTAAACTTTCTCTATCCCCATCCCTCCTAGCCTTTAGTAATTACAATAGGGTGATTAATTCAATTTCAAAATATTTTATTCACATAAAGTGAATACATCACACATATTTTACAATATAGTTTTAGAGATACAGTGACATTTCCCCTGCCATTCCTCTGTCTCCATTCCCCACCCATTACCTAGCCTTTCTCTCTTTTTAAAAATTTTACAAGAGAATACTTTGTGTTCACTTCTGAATCCATTATGCAAATTCAATGACCAGAAAGTAAAAAAGGCTGATTCTCAGGAGTGTGGACAGACTCAGGAGTGTGAACAGAGTCAACTATAAGAATGTCGACCTGGGTCCTACAGACCACATTCTGTACTCTACGCATTAGTTGCCAGCAACCAGGGAACACACGTGGTGTTTGTCCATTTGGGACGGTCTTAATTCACTGAGCGTACTGGTTCCCAGCTGCATCCATTTTACTGCAGAAGACTCTGTTTTAGGGCTGAGTAGTATTCCATGGATTTTCCCCCACATACTCCACATAGGAAACTTTCTGTGTGGCTTATTTCATTTGCTGTGCTATCCTTAAAATTCACCCATTTTGCTGCATATTCCAGAATTTCACCATTTAAAGGCAAATAATACTCAGGCGTGTATATAAATCACAGTTTATTTATGCATTCGCCTTTTGATGGAAACCTGGGCTGATTGCATGTGTTGGCTGTTGTGAACAGTGTTGTAGTCATGTGGATGCACGCTCCAGTCATGTCTTCTGGATGTACACTCCATCACGTCTGTGGATGTACACTCCATCACGTCCGGTGGGTGTATACTCCATCACGTCCTGTGGATGTACACTCCATCACGTCCTGTGGGTGTACACTCCATCACGTCCTGTGGGTGTACACTCCATCACGTCCTGTAGGTGTACACTCCATCACGTCCTGTAGGTGTACACTCCATCACGTCCTGTGGGTGTACACTCCATCACGTCCTGTGGATGTACACTCCATCACGTCCTGTGGGTGTACACTCCATCACGTCCTGTGGGTGTACACTCCATCACGTCCTGTGGGTGTGCACTCCATCACGTCCTGTGGGTGTGCACTCCATCACGTCCTGTGGGTGTACACTCCATCACGTCCTGTGGGTGTGCACTCCATCACGTCCTGTGGGTGTGCACTCCATCACGTCCTGTGGATGTGCACTCCATCACGTCCTGTGGGTGTGCACTCCATCACGTCCTGTGGGTGTACAGTCCATCACGTCCTGTGGGTGTACACTCCATCACGTCCTGTAGGTGTGCACTCCATCACGTCCTGTGGGTGTACACCCCATCACGTCCTGTGGGTGTAGAGTCCATCACGTCCTGTGGGTGTGCACTCCATCACGTCCTGTGGGTGTGCACTCCATCACGTCCTGTGGGTGTGCACTCCATCACGTCCTGTGGGTGTGCACTCCATCACGTCCTGTGGATGTACACTCCATCACGTCCTGTGGGTGTACACTGCATCACGTCCTGTGGGTGTAGAGTCCATCACGTCCTGTGGGTGTACACCCCATCACGTCCTGTAGGTGTGCACTCCATCACGTCCTGTGGGTGTACACCCCATCACGTCCTGTGGGTGTACACCCCATCACGCCCTGTGGGTGTACACTCCATCACGTCCTGTGGGTGTACACTCCATCACGTCCTGTAGGTGTGCACTCCATCACGTCCTGTGGGTGTACACTCCATCACGTCCTGTAGGTGTGCACTCACTCCATCACGTCCTGTGGGTGTACACCCCATCACGTCCTGTGGATGTACACTCCCATCATGTCTTCTGGGTATTTATTACCAATATAGATTTTATTGGAATGTATGATTGTTGTAGCACCTAGGTTTTTTTCAAATGATCTCTTTTTCAGCATGGATATACACATTTTTATCCCCAACAACAGTGCACAGAAGTTGCCCTTTCTTCATATTTCTGTATCCATGTGTTATTTTCAGTGTTTGTGATAATAGCCGGTCTAACGTGGATGACATACTATCTCATGGTGGTTTCCTGTTAAGTTTATCAGAGCTCTTTTGGAAATCTGTGTTCCTGATGGACAATTATGTTATTTCTTCTCTATTTATTTTCTTTTACTATCTGTCTTACTTTGGTTTTCACCCACCTGTATTCCACCTATGCTTCCTGATGTTGTCAAGGACCAGCTCATGCCTCACAACTCATAAGACTAATATTCAGGATTTACTAAGAGCTTCAAAAACTCAACAAATGCAAAATAAACAACCCTTTGAAGAAATGGGCAAAATAAATTAGCAAGCATTAAAAAAAAAACAAATTGAAAAGTCCAATTTACATATGAGAAATGCTCAGGCTCCTTAGTTATTAGGGAAATGCAAATAAAAACCAGACAGAAGTTCCAGCTAACTTCAAGGAGAGTGACCTGCATTGAGAAATCTACCAACAACACCTGCTGCCACGGACATGGGGAAAGGCACTTCACTTTTTGTGTAATGAAAGTCCATACACTGAGTGCTCAGACAACTGAAAATTGATCTACCACATGAGCAGGTTATACCAGTCCTGGGAATATATCCAAAGGAAGAAAAATCTGCAGCCCATAATAGCAAAGACATGGAAACAAGCCAGATGCCCATAGGAAGAGGAATGGAGGTAGAAACTGGGGTTACATCAATTCTGTGGAATACCTCTCAGGCATTAAAAAGAATGAAATTTGACCATTTGGACAAAATGGCTCCAACTGGAGACCATTATGTTTAGTAAAATAAGTCAATCCCAAAAGGATAAATATCGCATGTTCTTTCTGATAAAAGGCAAACTGCATGCAAAATATAAAACAAATAGATATATAGGTGAGCAAGTGTATACCTCCATTTTTGTAGATGAATTGTCAAATGAAGACAGAAAAATGGGAAGTGAAGATACATTGCAGTGTATATTTCTATTTGTGAATAATAGGAAGACTCCCAATAAACCAGATAAATACATCTTGACAATTTGATATAAGATTTTCTATCATTCTGTATACCTACAATGTCATGAAGCACTTCAGTAGCAGAATGTTAACCCTGTAACAGTTACCAAAGGACTGTAGTACTGCGAAATATGGGGAGAAATGGTGGGAGGGGAAAAGAGGCAGGTACAGGGGGAATCTGTACACCTATACAAGTGTCTCATGGAAAATAGTAAAACTAACGCTTAAACGAATCAGTTAAAAAGTCTTTACTATAACATTTTACACTAAGAAGAAAAGAAAATGTTTTGTATTCTGTGAATTCTCATTGTACATTACATGATTCTTTCCTGGCACACTACATTCTTTTATTTTATTTTTGTCATGTGGTGACTTGATGTAAATGTTTTCTCAATCACCGTGAGTTTCTCTGCTTAGTACAGAACTAAACAAGTAAGGTTGGCCAATGCATATTTTTGTGAAAAATAAATAATCTCCCTTGAAGTGACTTAGCAGGTGGACAGAGATAACAAAATTCCCAAAGAAAGCTTCACACAGTGTCTGCATTTCTTTTTCCAAAGGGATGCAGCATTTGAAAGATAGTATGTTCATATTAACAATATGTCTCATTAATTTGTGAAACATTTCTTTTGTGAATTTAAGTCCTGCCCCCAGGGATTTTTTTTTTTTTGGTTCACACGAATAATTTGGAAACAATTATCCAAGAAATCTTATTTTCACTGTTTTCTGGAAACAGTTAATATGTACAGAGTTGGTAAGGCAATCCTAAAAAATCATAATGATTTGCACACACAACCCAAACAATTACTGTATTATTATCTACCACAATTTCCTTGTACACAGATTACCCTGTACAGAGCACAATGAAGCTACAGCATAGATTCTCAGTCTGCCTCTCAGCTGGGATTATAAACAGAAGACACCTGTGACCGGGCGGGTACTTCAGTCTTCTGAACTTGGACCCGAGACAAAAGCTCACGAAACTTCTCTGTGAGGCTACTATCAATTGAAAACATAACTCTTGTGTCCTGTCCTAGTCTTCCTGGAGAGAAATTAAAGCTATTTGAGGCGGGTGGAGTGTGACAGTAGGAAATGCCTCTAAGTCTAGACACACAGACATTTGGATGTTCCTAAAGTTCTTTTTTGAACTGATTGTTTTCCTGTCAAATATTCAGAGCAGAAACCACTCTAAAATTACAATAAGTCGTACTCTTTATGAGATTTTCCTCATCTTCTCTGTCTCTACCATTGTGACTTTCAAAGAAATTAAATACAACTTAAAAGAAACTTTTCCAAAGTCTCAAGCACTTTAGTGGCAGCACAATGTGCACCATTATTTTCTTAACTGAAGTGTTTTTTTAAAAATTGTTTTACACAAAGCAATTCCATAGCTCATGTATTTCCATTTCCACTGTCCCCATCCTCCTCAATGTTCCCCCCTTTAGAAACTATCACAAGTCCATAATTCTTCCTTTTGAGTGTCATGACGTTGTAGGAATAGGCAATGGTAGAAAGGCTAGCATCCTGTTGTCAAGGTACATTAAAGCTCCACTGGGAGTCTTTGATTCAGGAGTCGAGATGCATGCTGCTTCTCAGTATGTTGGTCTTCCTCACACTGTTCAAGATGAATGTATTTTTCTTGTGGAGGTGGATGGTGTGACTTGGCACTGGAAAGCACCATGCAAGGCATGGGGAATATAAGTGAGAGAAGTAAAACTGAAGCAGGGAAGAAAAAGAATTAAATCAGGGATAACATGAGTGTCATTTCACAGCACGGATTTACACTAGAGCATATACCCAAACTTTAGGAGACACCACTTTACTCCTTGTTACAACAGGAGCTACCAAGACGACAGAAAATAGCAAATGATGGTGAAAATGTGGAACACAACATCCTTGAAAAGAAGCAGTAAAAGATGATAGTTATGGGTTTGTAAGACACGTAACTGATGAATTGTAGGTGTTATTGCCAAATAGTACAGGATTTTGTTTTGATCTGTGTGAAATGGTAGACCTAACAGCTTATTGTTTTATTGTTGAAAATTACACGGGGATTAAATGGGGATACAGCCAACTAGATGTCAGTTTTGAAATCCCTCCCTAAAAATAAACTCCAACAATTGGGTAACTATCTACAATGGAATATAGCTTTGGGAGGGCTCAAGAGTCCAGCTAAGAACCTATAGAAACATACTGGGGAAAAAAGTAGCCACACAGAATGAAGGGTTGAGCTTGGGGTTAGGGCACACCAACCTCAACCACATAGTGGTGCCACTGTTGTTCTGAGGTGGCATCGTCTGCATGGGATTACCACAGTTTCCACCACCGAGGAAACAAATAGTTGTTTTGACTATTTACAGTGGTTATCCTGTGAGCTCCCTGGATTGGGAGGTGATGTGTCATCCCATACACCCTGGCTCCTTCAGACCAGAAACCACTGGGGTGGTGCCCTGACTGCCACCACTTCCCACAATCCTGAAAAAGCTGCAGACCCTGACTCGATAGCAGCATGTAGTCTGCCCATTGAGAGAATTTGTATCCCGGATTATGCAGCCACGGTTGTTCCAGGAATGTTCACATTTGAGGTGCTTACTTCAAGGCCACTCTGTCATTGGACCCATGACTGCAGTGAACGGGCTGGTGCCCTGGTCCCTGGAGCAGTGGTAGACCTCCACACATCTGTGTGCTGGGCTTCCACTTTGTGGTGAATTCTTGAGCCTTACACGTTCTTTCTAATGTAGTGCAGGAAGTATCTGCATGAGGGCACCAAAGCCATTGCTGGACCCAAGATCCACCCATGTCACTGTGCTGAAGGCCTCACACATGGCTACTTCAGGGATGCCCGTGGCACCCTAACAATCTCCAGTGTGCCTGTAAGGAACTCAGAACAATGAAGACTTTACTCAAGCATGAGCTTTCCTTTCCGCTGTCTTGGGTGTCGCTGAAGAAATCTACAGCCTTGGCTACTAAGGAGGCCAACTTTGCACATTTGCCTAAGGACTATGTCAAGTGCCTTTACTGGATCGTGAAGGTCCTTGCTCATGCAAAACAGTCCGGGAAGCCTGGAAGCGATGATTGCTCTGTTAGACGTGCAGATATCATTGAGAAAAAATCACAAATACAACTTACAGTAACCGGCAACACATAAGCGGGATCTACAAAGTGCCTCACAAAGACTTCAAACAATCACACTAAGGAAACTTGGGAGCCAAAAGAGAAAACATCAGAAATCAAGAAAACTGGATGATCAAAACCAGGTGCTCAATGGAGGGGAAGAAATAGCAAAAAGGAACCAAATAATTTGCAGAGAAGAAAGATATACTGAATGAAATGAAAATTGTGTAGGAAGCACAATAGTAGGTCTGATCATGCAGAAGAAGGAAAAACTGTGTGTGATGTTCACACACACACACACACACACACACACACACACACACACACACACACTCACACACCTAGAAGAGAAAAAAGGAAAGAGAATGACAGGAATGACCTACTGGATTTTTGGAAATGTCAACAAGGTAGCTAACACATGATAGAAGTTTCAGAAAATGAATCTAAAGAGAAAAGAGAAGACAGCTTATTGAGGAAATGACAATGGTACTAGTTAAATCTAGGGAGGTCAAAGCATTTGAGTGCATGAGTCTCAAAGATCACCCAACAGTGTCCAGCCCAAGGAAGACTTCGTCAAGACATAGTCATGCACTACATAAGGAAATTCTGACCAATGATACAGTTTTGATCCAATGGTATTTTCACTGATGCTGAGAGTGAATTCTGCATCGCCTTGTGAAGTCAGAGCCCTCATGCTATCAGAGCCCATCATGTTGCTCACATGTCTGTGGTGACACCAATTGAAAATCCTTACTGTTGGTGGTGTAAAAGTTAAAATTCCTCTGCTGTGGGTTGCTTTTGTTGTTTATTTTAAAGAGAGTTAGAAGGCACAGGGTGTTGGCTCAGTGGCTAAGTCCTCACCTCGCAAGTGCCAGGATCCCATGTGAGCACTGGGTTGTGTTCCAGCTGCTCTGCTTCCCTTCCGGCTCCTTGCTTATGGCCTGGGAAAGCAGTCGAGGACGGCCCAAAGCCTTGGGACCCTGCACCCATGTGGGAGACCCAGAAGCTGCTCCCGGCTCTTGATTTCAGACTGGCTCAGCTCCGCCTGGTGTTGTGGCCACCTGGGGAGTGAAACAGTGGATAGATCTTTTTCTCTGTTTCTCCTCCTTTGCTCTGTAAATCTGCCTTTCCATTAAAAAACAAACAACACACAAAAACAA